AGAGCAGGACACACCCCAGCACCTATGAATTTGCTGTCTCCTCACTGTAAATATCCTAAATCAACCAAATTTTTAAATGTACACCTGAGCGGGAATTAACTAAACCAAAGGGCCATAACCTCAGCTGGCTGCACCATGTGTGTCCCCCAAATGCCCCTTCTGATGTGCTCAGCGTATCTGTAACTTCACTGAAATAAACATCAGAGGTTAAGCCTTTGAGGCTTCCTGTGTCTCATGGGGGTAGTGCTGTGCAACTGGACTGTTCTTGCTGTCTGTCCCCAGAGAGAAGAGCTCTTGGGGATGGACAGCAGGGTCTAATCCTGGCGAATCCCTGTGGTATTTTATTCTTCTCATGACATCCCATTCCATGTACCCCATGTAATCCTTTCCATTAACAGGAGTTAGGGTATATGGTCTGCCAAAGCCACAGTGGGGTAGTGTTGAAGATGGGATATGGTTTTGCATCTAATGACGTGCATGGGCAACAGAGGAAACATGGAGTAGGATTCCTATTTGCCCTTGAATTGGTGCTTAGGTGTTAGCCACCAGAGAACCCAGGCTGAGGCCTGCAGGCGAGCCAGAAAAGAGTATGCTTCAACTTCCATCTGGCAAATGGACCTGTAGCCACAGGAAAGGTTTGCCACTCGTGCATCAGGCTCTTTTCCCATACTGTTGCTAAGCACCACTGATGGACTGACCTTGTCGTGTCTCCTTTACTCTGTCAAGATGTTGGATGGTCATGTAAAGTATCATTCTAATAAGAACAGCCATACTGGGTCAAACTAAAGGTCCATCTAGCCCAGTATCCTGTCTTCCAGCAATGGCCAATGCCCGGTGCCCCAGAGGGAATGAACAGAACAGGTAATTATCAAGTGCCTATCAATCACCCATTCCCTCCTTCTTGCATTGGAGGCTAGAGAAACCATTCCTGCCCATTCTGGCTAATAGCCATTGATGGACCTATCCTCCATGAATTTATCTAGTTCTTTTTTTAACCCTGTTATAGTCTTGGCCTTCACAACATCCTCTGGCAAGGAGTTCCACAGGTTGACTGTGCATTGTTTGAAGAAATACTTTCTTTTGTTTGTTTTAAACCTGCTGCTTATTAAGTTCATTGGGTGACTCCTTGTCCTTGTGTTATGTGAAGGAGTAAACACTTCCTTACTTACTTTTTCCATACCAGCCATGATTTTATAGACCTCTTATCATATTCCCCCTTAGTCATCTTTTTTCCAAACTGAAAAGTTCCAATCTTATTAATCTCTCCTCATATGGCAGCTGTTCACACCCCTGATCATTTTTTGTTGCCCTTTTCTCAACCTTTTCCCATTCCAATATATCTTTTTTGAGATGGGGCAACCACATCTGCACACAGTATTCAAGATGTGGGCGTACCATGGATTTATCTAGAGGCAATATGATATTTTCTTTCTTATTATCTATCCCTTTCTTAAGGATTCCCAACATTGTTCACGTTTTTGACTGCCGCTTCACATTGAGTGGATGTTTTCAGAGAACTATCCACAGTGACGCCAAGAACGTTCTTGAGTAGTAACAGCTAATTTAGACCCCATCATTTTAGATGTCTAGTTGGGATTATGTGTTACAATGTGCATTACTTTGCATTTATCAACATTGAATTTCATTTGTCGTTTTGTTGCCCAGTCACCACTTTTGAGAGATCCTTTTGTAGCTCTTTGCAGTCTGCCTGGGATTTAATTATCTTGAGTAGTTTAGTATCATCTGCAAATTTTGCCACCTCACTGTTTGAAGGTGAGCTAAATGCTTCCTTTAATAAAGGAAGATTAGGGAATGGGCACTACGATGTTCCCTAAAACTTTTTTTAAAAGCTCTAGAAGGATGAGGAGGCATAAATTGAACACAACTTACTCACTTGTCTGCTCAACTTAGACATAGAAAGCAATTTCAATACTAAACGGTAGTCTGACAGAGGATTGTCTTATCATTGTAGAACATTGCCTCAGCTTCATTTGTGTATAAAAATGAGCCAGGGTTGAACAAGTCATCAGCTAAGCTAAATAAACAAAATGGGAGACCAGAGGAAGTCAAATTGAAAAAATTTTGGATTGTCCACTCACTCTCACTCATAACTGTTTTAAGCTTTGAGAATTCTCTTCTGAGATCTTTGCGTTGACAGAATGATCAAATATAGGAGTGTGTTGTGTGTTCATTCATGTGGCTGGGTTTGTTTTTTTTGCAGGGAGGGGTTGTGGGGGGGGGGGAAGACTTGGCAGCTTTCACTTTATTTTAGCCTCTGGATACTGTCAGATCAGGATTCTACTTGAGCTTTGCACTGTCACAGTTTCAGGCTCCCAGCCAGAAAGCAAGATAATTAACTGTAGTAGATTCTGATCTAAATGTTCAATCTGCTGCTTACCTCCTACAGACCTTGCCGAGTCCATGAACTGGTGCCCATGAGGGAGATGTAAGCTGTTATGATTGATGCAATTCAGGTTATAGAAGTACTTGCACATTCCAGTCCTACATGGTATCAAACTGCTGGGCTTAGCCCATCCGTGCTCATATTTCTAGAATAAATGCTAAAGAAAACCCTTTTTTAAAGAAACCACAAACAGTCACTTGTATATTTAACAATATATATTTTATATATATATTTCTAAATCAGTACATTCAGTTTTAACTTGTTTTTCTTCACAAACAGAAGAACTCTTACAATAGTAGACTTTCTAAAATAAATACTATTAAAATAGAGCTTCAAAATAAATATTCTATACAAAGGAAACCTTCTGTTGTAACTTTGGGGGGGTGTGTGTGTGTATGGAGGTGATTGGTTGGTAGGGAATGAAATTTTTGAACAGCTTTTCATACCATGAAAGAAAAAAAATTCCCAGTGCTGCAAAAGAGACAAACTGAGGAAATAAACTAGAGATTTTAGTTTACTAAAAGCAATGAGAAACCACTTCCAAAAGACAGTAAAACTTAAGTGTGGTGCCAAATCCTGTCCCCTTCCTCCTTTTACAGCACTGTTCTGTTCAACACCATAGCATGCCTCTGAGGGAATACTTTTGCTTCCCAGGCAGTGGGTACATAGAAGATGCAAATTAAAAACTCTTCTAGGATGCACAAAATGGGTAAGTCCTCTCAGCAGGTGTCTTACTTCCACTTGTGTTCATGAGGATAGGAGCCAGCTCCCCCTGCACTGTGACAACATGACTAGAGAGTAGCCCGAGAGATTATTAAATAGAGTTCATACTTATATGGCCTAGCCAGCAGTCACTCTCCTGGTCTATACTTAGGTTGATATAGCTATGGTGCTCAAGGGTGTGTAAAACAGCCATGCCTGAGTGCCGTAACTATGCTGACCTTATCCCCCTAAGTAGACACAGGTACGGTGGATAGAAGAATGTGTCTCTCAACCTAGCTACCATCACTTGATGTTCCTAAACCAATGGGAAAAATCCCTTCCATCACTATAGGCGGCATCTACACTAGGGGGTTATGCTGGCATAGCAGTGGTGCAATAGCTATGCTGCTGGAGTCCCTGTAGTATAGACATGGCCTACGAGATAGGGGTAGCTTGCAGGGATGACAGACCATGTTGCATGTCATGATCGGTTGTCTCTGCATGAGAGGAAGGCAGCTTATTTAATGCAAACTAGGCGTGGCTCGAGCCTAGACCAAATTTAGATGGCATATTACACTGTCCCTGTATGCTTTATGTCTCAGGAGTAGCAGGAGGTCAAAGTGGGAGCATGTCCCTTAAAAGTGAAGGTGGGGGAATTGGAGGAAAAAAGGGGAAACTTAGTTGTTGGCTGGAAAAATACCTTCCATCAGCACAGCAGCCAAAGGCATCTAAAGGAATAGTGTCATATTGTCAAGGCTCCTCTCGCCTCGTCTAACCCAGAATCTTTTGAATGCTATGCAAGAAGCTCAACAACTTTGTTGCTATGCCTCAGGCAAAGAGCTGGTGAAACATGCCGACTGATTGCTACACCAAAGGGACTTGAAGAATACAAGGAGCTTCATTCTGCTACATTTACCACTGCACTAACACATCCACTAATGCTTTACAGTCTTCCAGCAAGGGATCAGCTTACATTATAGCAGAAGTTATATATTAAAAGAAACCAACAAAGAAATAGGTGTTTACAACTATGTACAATGAAAGTAAAAGTTGCTGGAGGTCCTCTTCGTTAGAGAATGTAAGAATATGGACTTGCTCTGTGTGTGTTTACATGTGAACACAACTATGGACTGGCACAGTGGAGACCATTCAAATGTTATGTTTGCTTGCAGTAACATGCAGCCAGCCAACAATTTCTATTGCAAATTTGCACTAGGATACCCTGCTGCACTAAGCTAGGGCTTGCGGTAAACAGAAAATGTATAGATGGCTGCCATTTGGACGTTGCATATGTTCAAGGTGGAAGATAGCTGATATAGATCTCTGTGCTTGTTGCTGCGTTTTTTTAGCCCATTTGTACTTTAAGAAAATTATATATCATTCCATTAAATAGCAATGCCTTATACATTCAACCAGCAGTTCAACCAGTTTGGGGTTCTTTTCTTTTTTCTTTGCAAGGTTCCCTCTGATCTGTGATACAAACCCCTTCACTGCACACACAGTATCTTCCTGGTGAGGGTAAGCTACAGGAATCAAGATCTGGTAACATAGATGCAGTATCCCTTTTTCTATGATTTACCATAAACAAGCCAGCTAATGCTATAAATATAAAAAGGAAGTTTTTTTAAAAAACAATTCCCCGCTTAATAAATATCTACAATTAAATGTAACAAAAAAAAGTCACCCGCTCATAAATGAATTCTTAAGTAAAAAATAAAATAATTTTAAAAAAAAGCTCCAATCAGTACATTTTGAAAAAAACAAAACAGCAATTGTATCACAACCAAGCAAATGTGATTTCTGGAAAATGCTACATAAGCTTTGCCTATTGCTTATCTAATTAAAGATGACATCTCTCTGTCATTGCTGTGTATTTACGGAGTACATTTCCTCTAATTAAAAAAAAAAAATACACACACACACGGATTAGATCAGCTTTCAGCATGCAACAAGTACCTAGCTATTTGATTTGTTGCATGTTAGGACAAAGTTTTTTTGTTTAGCACCTTGCAGTTATCAAAAGAAAGGGGTTACTGCAGCATAAGGGAGTGCAGTACGAGTGCATAGACAAAGCCTATGATCGTCAGCTACTGAAAACCAAGGGCAAGGTTCCATAAATACGCACCCTTGACGTCCCCCAGTACTCATTAACACTAAAATAGACACTTGTTAATTTCTCTATTTACACTTTACAAAGACACACTATTCTACAGAAAAGGCAAAAGTTGAGCAGCAGCAATAGAAATGAAGGGGGGAAAAATACTTCAAGCAAATGTCATTCTGCCCCCCAAAAAAGTGTCCTTAATATTATCAGCAAAGTAGATCTGAAGAGCTTGTTCCAGAAGAACAGGTATTGGATTGATATCTATTTAAAAAATATGTACATGTGTATTGTGCTCAGTTTTTCTTGACCTTGCCACTACCGTCTGAGAAGGGGGGGGGGAACAAAAATTTCTCAGCTTAGTGGGACTTCTGCATCAGCATTTGCTGAGCACGAAATCACACGACAGAAGTCGAATTCATTCAAAGCCCCCTGGAAAAAGTTTTACTATTGATGTCATAATATATTTTTAAAATCTACTAAATGTGACATCTGAGGCTACACACTTAAGCTCACTAGCAAAATGACAGTGTAAAATTTGAAAAGAAATTGACATGGGTGGGGGGAGGAGAAAAACACATTATGCCCATAGTCCTCTTATTGGGGCAAGGTGAGGGGGAGAGAGATTCCATATCACTACCTCTGTCAGAAAACAAAATCGGCATCAAAAGGGGAACGTGACGGGTGGGGTAGGAATAGAAATATACCTAAATGGCAATGACAGTTGTAGAAAGTGATTTGAAAAAAGTTATTTCTGCTTCAAAATCTATTCTGGAAGGGTGAAGGAAAAAGCTTTGGGGAAACATTTACTTTGTACTCAACTGGCCCTTTTAATAGTCAAGTGGAGAGAAAAAGTTTAACCCTTTACTTTCAACAGGCTGCTGGTAACATATCAGAGTTGAAAAAGGAAGAAAACCCACCCTACTCTGAATCCACTATTCTTTTGTGAATGAAAATGAATATTGCTTCTGCTGATGTGCCTGTCAAGCTAATAGTTAATTATTCTTGCTGGACGTAGGCACAGCGAGCAGCCAGCACTATGAACCAGATGGTGAAAAGACTTTTTAAGCAGCGGTACTCTGTGATCTGTGTTGGTTTTTGGCCTGGGATCTGTAAAGTATTAAGAATCCTCCTCCATTGGCCCCCCTCTGTTTAACTTTAGATAATCAATTCCAAAACCCTGAATAACCCAAAGTGCTTCAGTTTATGGAAATAGTTACTTCGGCTTTCTTTGTTGATGGCAAAAGGCTAACATATGTTATCCTCAGAACACAGGTTATAACCTCCCCTTTGGTGTCTCTTCCACCTTTCTCATATCCCCCCGCACCCTGCAATGGTCAGAAAGGCTTTTCTGGCCTGCTCGCTTTGCCATCCAGCGCCACCTTGCAGAAGACACTGTTTGTGTTTTTACATCTACATCCGGGCCGGCTCACTTGGTCATAGCATCTCTGGGATAGTTTCACGCAGCCGGTGGCTGGCAGGTAGCACAGCAAGCAAGGCAGGACCAGAGAGAGGGCACCCATGAAAGACCAGCGGGCACAGCAGTTCGAATGGGAGCAGGAGCAGGGGTGGTCTGCACAGGAGCCCTCGTCATCCTCGTTAGTGCAGTGGTAGAAGACTCCCTTCACCAGACACATGCACGTGGAGTAATTGACCAAGTTCTGCGCAGAGCAGAGACACTCCTGGTTGCACACCCAGCAAGAAGGCAAAGCCCGCGGCATGGCACACTCCTTGCACTTGCATTTCCCACAGGCTTCACACAGTAAAAAGTGCTTGTCAAGCTCCTGAGACATGGGTCCCTTCAGATCCATGGGTTTGCAATTCATCACCTTGGGCTGTATCCGAACCGCTCTCGGGGAGGGCTGCTCCGCCACGGGGGCCGGCGCCATGTGGTCCAGGAGCCGCTGGTCGGAAGCCGTGCTGCTGCTGCTACTGATGGAGCTGGGCCGCCCGCTGAAGGAGATCCAGGGGTGGGTGACGTCCTGCTCACATCGCTGCAGGTGCTGGCTGGTCAGCGCGGGTTCCTGGTGGCCTCTGGGGCGCTTCTGGGTGGCCAGGCTGGGATTGCCGGTGTAGTCATTCTCCACGTGAGTAGTCCTCATCTGGTCAATAGGCAGGATGGGGAGCGGATGCTGCAGCCTCCCATAGGGGATCCGACTGTCCAGTAACGGCTGTACCATGACAGAGTTTGGGGCCACAGTTATGTTGTGGGGAATCCGGGGTTCCATTGGTCAGAGTGTCCTTCACCACTGGGGGGTAAAAACGGCTTTAAGTGTCCTGAAAATGAGAAGGGAAAAAGGGAACGGTTCCCAGATTAACTCACATTGTCACTATTCCCTGTCCAAGGAGGGCTCATTGCTCTAGCAGCTATTGCACTGAAGTCATTATGAGCCAAGCGCACCTCAAGCGGAGATAAAGTATCTGCTCTCGTGTAAAGCCGGGATTTGTATTGGCACGGTTTTGCTCTCACTAACCTAGGCTAGCCTAGCACTCCCAGTCATTGCTACATGTAACAATATCTTAGGCTTTAGTAGCCCCTTCTCTCTCAGTGGCAGCTGGGGAGGCAATGCAGGAGGAAGGAAGGAAGTTGAGCTTGCTGCCTTAGAGTTATCAGCCCGTGTTAAAATATTCTTTGGCTGCTCGGAATGCTACCTTGTCACCTCCCTGGTCTCCAGCAGACATGACCATGAGCCACGGCTGGGACAGCTGGGAGCTCAGCCTAGCAAAATGTTGGTTCAACAGGTTTGGGAAGTACTGGTTTAGTATATTCACTCCAAGTAGCACAAAGTCTCAGGCCCGAATTAAGCCCCTGTGTGGATGGCTTAAGTGAGATAGCGTAGAGTTTGTCTCCCCACGCGCTCAGAGTTTGTCTCCCCACGTGCTCAGAGGGGTAGCATTTGACCATTAGGGGAGTTGTTATGGCGGGGGCTGTCATCCTAATCTACAGATCTACCCCATCTCTCCTCACTCATGACATCCTGGGAGGGCTGAGGCATCCACACACCATCCCAGATCCTGCTTGGTACACCCCTGCCTATGCCTGGTCTAATCCCTCTTCCCTCCCCTATGCAGAGCAGACGTTCATTCAAGTTAACAGTGACAGTGGCAGACAATCTTCTCACGGAGAGTCGCTGTGGGTTTCTAGGGGATAATGCCACTGAACGTCTCTCCCCTATCCCACCGCACCTCAAACCCAAGGAAGTCCAACTGTGCAGAGTTGACTTGGCAGGCCTTACGCAGACTTGAAGGATAATGCTACAGCCAGTTCCGACAAGCCTGCTAAACTGGTAGACACTGGAATATGGTGCAGGCCCTGGGGACCCCACAAAGTGCAAGATGAAATGCCAGAGTGCTCTTTATTGCTCACGTTCCTGTGCTGCATGGCTTGGAGTATGAGCTGCTGCTTCTTGGTTGAAAGCCCTCCCAGAGAAGCAGATGCCCTAAATCAGTGCTTCTCAAGCTGTCTGATGTGGGGGACCGGCAATTTTTTCCCCCCAGTGTGCGCGCCGACTGGCAGTCGATGGCTTGCGGACCGGGACCACCACTTTGAGTAGCACTGCCCTAGAGGGTTCAAATTATCCCCCCTCCCCCACCTTTATCCTGGCCCTGGTTGGGGCATCTTACAATTCCTCACCGACTCTCCAGTTTAACAGGACATCTCCAGGACATCTCAAACACCCACAGCAACTGTTCTGAACATAATAATCTATCTTCCTCCCTTGCTCCCTTGAGAAATGGCGGAGGAGTTTGGAGCAGGGGAGTGGGAAAAGGTGGGACCCATACACTTAGGTTCTGCAACCTGGGTATCCTTTGCAAAGGTCCCCAATTTCTGTCTCAACAAACTGCCCTCCATCAGGCAGATATTGGCCTAAAAAGAACAGGTTTTCTACTACTTTCATCCCCATTGTGGGAAATATACATAAGGAGGATATATAGCATTTCCCTAGCAGCACAGCCATCTAAGATACCAACAACAAAGGGATGGGGCAAATTACAGGTAAAGCTCACTTCAATGAGTCTACTGAAAATCTGATCAGAGATCACATCACCCCACTAATTAGGTTATCTCCATCAAACACGAAGCAGAATAATATTTTGCCTAAATGCTGTTTACTAGCTAGATCAGCTCAACCAGCTATTGCTACAGTTTCTAATTTCATTGAAAGAGTGCAATTTATACTGGAGCCAATCCAAAGATTCAACTGCAGTGTAGGACATGAAACCACAGGAAGTAACTAAACTTAAATCAAAGAACGGAAACTACTTGGTTCAAATTTGGAAAATGCACATTGTTTTCTAGTTGATGGGCCATTTCCTTGCTGAGTGACCTTTATATTTATGAATTATGTTCGGGATCAGTTTAAAAGCAGCAGCAAGTAAAACTTCAGAGTAAGCTAAGGGAGAAGGGGCCTTTTGGAATCCAAAAGGAAGTAGTGAGCTGTTCAAGATCTTTATTTTTTAAGTTTTAGAAATGTGTGAAAAGATTTGGATTTTACAATGAAAGGTCCGCCAGTGGGGACTGATTTATCCATAAAAGTTGTAAGTTTGGAAAGAGTGCATTAAACTGGAAGAGCCATCCAAACTCCTGCCCTAGAACTTTTGTGTGTGTATATATGTAACATACACACTATCTTATATAGCTTGGCTGTTAAATCATTTTCCACTAGTTTAATTAATTGGATGAAAAATACTGTACCAAAAAACCCAAAATAACCATGCCACCCTCCTGCATCAACTAAGTGTTGTTATTGTTTTTTTTTTTTGTGGGGGGGGGGGGGGATATCTGCTTTAAAATGATGACTAGAGCCCATTATTAGAATAACTTATTCGCTTGATTGAGCACTTGGGATCTGATCCTGAGAGGTGCTGAACACCCTCAACTCGTAGTAAAATCAATAGGAGGTGAAGTAGCTCAGCACCTCACAAAAGGTGCTCAGCGTCTTGCAGGATAGGGCTCATGCAGTGAAACTGGACTCTGGAATATCAATCTGTGGTCAGTACAGTATATGCCTTTTCTGCTGCATTAGCATAGTACGGGTTGCTGTGCTTGAGAGAGTCTGCCACACAAGACAAGAAATGGGACAAATGCTTTATCTAGAGGGAATAATGAAGCTACTTATGGTGGCTTAGTCTTTAAGCTAGCGTCCTCTGCCATTTAATAGTTCTCTAGTTATTCTTTCTCCTCAGTCAGTCATTCACCAAAAAAACCCAACCAAACAAAACAAAAACCCCAAAACAAACCCCCTACGATTAGAAATCAATTGAGAATTTGTTCCTTAAAAAGCAGAACTATTCACTGCTCTCAGCAATCATATTTTGGAACTACAAGCAGAAAGATTTTGGAAGCACTTATTTCCTAACAGCATGAGATGCTTTGACGAAATATTGTCTTTGAAAAAAAATTAGGCAATGATTTCCAATAAGCAGGGCTTATAAGGGGGGTGGGGGGAATGTATATTTCATCTACCTAGAGTTCAGTGTCATAGTGTAGAAAGTACTTGCTTAAGCTCAGAGTTCCGTATTATACAAAGTGTAAACCACTGAATTTGTCAGCCCAAGATTCTGCATTTACAGGAAGTCCGTTGTATTTCACAAGAACCTAGTTTTTTAAAGCTTAGAGGATAGAGATGCAGCTATTTCAGCTGGCAAGGTGCGCGCTCAACATGACTAATTTTGGTATGGATGTAGCTGGAGCTGTACAAAATGGTGGAATACTGCACCATATTAAACCAGTCCTGTCGTTTGCCCTTTATCTCTGTACCAATGGCTTTTTCATTACAGATTTTTTTTTAAATTAAAATAGAACATATGCACCCATAGCTTCCAAATATCAGTTGGGGTCTAATCGAATCCCAGCTGTAGTCTAATGAAATCAGTGGAGTTATGCTTATTCAGAACAGGTCTAAACTAGGTTGAAAAAATCCTCATTTAAGGCGAATTGTGTACCAATATATATGATGGTCAAGTGTTCTGTTCTATAGGGTAGTGTCTAATGTAATTGTCTAGGCTAACAGCATTTAGTTTAACTTTACAAATTACAGGCCAGCTCCTGCACCACTGTATTCAATGCATGTGTGTGCATACTGCATCAATGAACAGCAGCCATCACTGTGGTAAAAGGCAGCTGTCAGGCAAACACCAATGTTTGCAAGGGAAATTGAGACTGTACTACATCTTTTTATTTATCTGAAGGGCCATGCAAATACGGAGTTAGCTGCATGCAACTAGTAGGAATACCTTGCATATTCAACCTATCCCACTGAGTTAGACACAGATCATACAGAGACTGTCGCCATGTCCGGCAACTGTTATACTCTCTGGGATAGTTCATATGCAGACAGACATTAGCAGGTGGTTTTAATTGGGATAATTAATGCTGGTCAGAACACCAGCTTTATTTCCTGGACTTAAACCCTCCCAACCTCCAACAAAATCCCCACCCAAATGGACTTTAAGACAGTCAAGGTTGAAAATCAAATTTAGCACTTTTCATTAAATGATCTCAATCACTTGGCCAAAGGTAGGGAAGTATCATTACTCCCATTTTAGAGATGGGGAAACTGAGACATGGAGAAGTTAAGTGAAAAGCCCAGATTTCCCAACTCCTAATACAGTGCTTTAGACACGCTCTCTTTAGAGAATCCTTTAAAATTATATACATCCACATACTACCATTTTTGCTGTTTGGATTAAATTTCCGTTCCCTATTCTGCACCAAGGTTTAGTAGCAATACAAGACCCCGGTTTGGCTAAGACTTTATTACTCTTACAAAAATAGCCTGAAGCATAAGTACATTGTATGATGCAACAACTTGTCTTTTTGTGATTGCTCACTCAGCCTTTCTCCAGGATACACCCTGAGCAACTGGGCTGAGCGCTGGGAACTGACATTCTCCCACGAGCTTCACCTCTTTTATGTTTAGTATTTGGGTCCATTGATAGAAACAGACCTCAGAATGGTCATTTGAAGCGCACTGCTGATGACAAGCTTCTTGCAGGCTGAATGTTTAGAAGAAGGGTAGATGTACTGGACACTCAAGTTCTATTACATATTTAGTGACTGGATTCTGACAGCCATAGGAGAGGGGTAGAAGGATTTTACATGAATATTTCATCCAAACAACTGTAACTCCTTACTTAAAGTCGTTCCAGTTAACATTGTTATGTTGCTGATCAATTAGGGAGCATGCTCGTTTAAAGTTGCGCAATGCTCCCTCATTACGTTGTTTGGCAGCCGCCTGCTTTGTCCACTGCTTGCAGGAAGAGTAGCCCATTGC